ACTCGTGCCTTTAACAAAAGAGTGATTGTTTAGTGAGTGAGCGGGTAACCTGCAAGACGATTTAACCGGGAATTGGGAAGTCCTGAACCCTACCGGCCCTTGTACGTGGAAATTGGTGCTTTTCGCGAAAGCTGATCTGAGTATTGTCTATGCGAACGCACATACGCAGGTTCAAACCTTTAGGTTTGTTAATGTCTTGTAAATCAAAATGAGTATTGTCTATGCAAACGCCATACCAGGTTCAACCTTAGGGTTGTTAATGTCTTGTAAATACAAAACTCCCTCCTACCCCCGGACACCACCCTCACCACCATTACTGTTTCTATCGCATTTGATTCCATCTGATTCTATGACCAGTCAACACGCCAACTAAACTCACTTTTCCCTTCAAAACGGTCCTCCAGCGGGGACAGCGGGGAAAAGCTTTTCAAAGAACCAGCCATTTCTCTGACCCCTTTGTAAAATTTTCGCGGGAATCTGATCAAACGGCTCCTCTCTCGTCGAACACGACTCCTCAACATCCACAAGATGATTCACCTCCTCCCAAAATCGCAAATACGACCCCTTCCATGATACTTGTATTAAGGGAAGGCTGACCTTGTGCCATACCGTTGTGTACACCCAATTTGCGTGAACATATGATTTTGAGAGCAGTTCGTGTGCGTCATACACTACTGATGAATCGCTAGCGAATCGCTGGTGAATCGCTAGCGAATCGCTGACAAATCGCTGCGAATCGCTGACAAATCGCTAGCGAATCGCTGACGAATCGCTAGCGAATCGCTAATCGAATCGGAAAGTATGACGTCGGCCTTGCGCGATGCTTTTATTCCGCAGGTTTCGCAGCGTTCAGCGTTCTATCTAAGTAGAACCTTTTGATCTGAAAATGGTATTTGACAAATGTCGAGTGGAAGAACAGCAATTACATTGTGTGTTTCATGAGTGCCCTCAACTGGAAACAAAAGAAACTGATGAATCCTCCAACCGTACCCATTTGTGAGAGAACGGAGAAAAACGAATAGATATAGGGTGTACATTGTACTGGACAATGGCGACAATAACTGAAAGCCTCAAGCTTGCTTGAGTGTGCTTTTGCGCCTTACCGTAGATCGCCGAAGTGATCGAGGCGTTCCGTGCAATCACCTGCATAGGATTTATAAGGTACGCGGATATCTTAGTGTCGTTTTTTCACCGCGAATTTCGGACCACCAATATTTTAATTCAAAATCCAGTGACGTGAAACGCATATCCATCGAATGACTCATTAAGCCTTTCCATTTAACCCGTATGAGTGAAAACCTCGTACGATTAAAGTTAGGAATTTTAGAGACGAAAAAGAGAGGTAGGTCGAATTTGACATCATCTGCCAAATCATCCCTCTACCTGCTAAACAGTTGGGCCTGGACAAAAAAAAGTATACATTTAGTTAGAGTAGGTCTGCACTGTTTGGAAAATTTATTACTTACCAGCTAACTGGACAATTTTTCACCGGAATCTTTTTTCCCACGTGGGGTCAAAAGCGCACCCCTTTTTGAGCACACGTGAGTAGCAAGATTGAGCATTATATTTAGAATTTTGGTCAATTCAACTTCGTAGAGCGTTCTGTGCACCATCGTTCAGTAACTGCTAGGGTGTCCTACCATTCCAGCACAAGACTGGTGCAGCCGTTTTGACTGATTTTAGCGACCCCTTTTTGGCGACGGTTGGCGGGCATCCTTCAAAGACTTTACTGTCTTTTAAGAAAACTGTGAAAACCCGCTGAGCATTTTAAATGGTAGTATTCCCTCCATCAACTGCAATGCTGGTTTGGTGGCGGAGGTTACAGCTCTCAGCAAGAATATTTGGAAGCATTTCGTTACACCACATGCGAATTTGCACACTGGACCAGGAAATTTCAAAAAGAAATGTATGAAAATTGGGCGTTGAAAGTTAAACTTGGCGAACCAACAATAGAACGGCCCGAAGACGGTAAGCAACATATTTCGCAATATTAATGAGCAAAAACTGCCTTCTGTGATATTGATTTTCCATAGTAATCGGCCCCAAAACTTCCTGAACTCAGAAAAGCGACACTAAGATATCCGGTACCTAATATTATAGTCATCAATCATATTTTTTGTATGGGCCCTCCTTTTTATGCGGGTTTTCTGTGGAGAAATTTCCATACTTCATCACCCTCTCACCATCCTTCTGCGATACACCAAGGGTTTAGAGGCCTGAAATTTGAGCGCTCATATGTACGGAAAGAAAACCGAACGGCATCATCAATCAAGCCACGAGCGTGGTGTTCCTTTGCATAGTCAGGCCTCATTGTTAGGCTGATATGGTTATGTGAAAGGAATTGCGATAATCGCTTCAAGACCCTAATACCACCCTGACCAACCAGACGATCTCGTCATATCGAGAAGTTAGGATTTTTCTTAAGTGACGCCTGCACTTCCCGTTTTCATGTCGTGGAAGCCTGACCATTTTCTTAGTATTTACTAGAATGAATTGAAAATGAAAATGATGAACAGAGTGGAGAGCCCTCAATTGGCACCGTAACAAATGAACCCTGCAAGGCTACAGAACGGAATGAGCGACAGAACCATAGCATAACGATATGAATATTTGTATATATAGCTGTGTTTTTGTCGAGAAGCGACGTCAAGCGCGCCAAACGCCGAACGCGATCACAACAGGCACCATTGTTGAAAGACTACAGGTGCAGGTATTTCACTACTGACTAATGCTCTACTGCTGCCGCGGACTGCCTTGCTTGAACAGAGGGACCGTACGCCTGGGGCCGTTTGGACGAAAGCCAAGAAAACAACAAAAAATTAAGATTACAGACCCAACACAGCCTGGTAAGAAAGGAACAACTAGTATACTACCAAGCCGCTGTTGAAATTCAGTTGCTGAAAGCTCCTTAAAAATAAGCTAGTTTCATTTTCGCAATCTCCTTATAGCCGGGTTTCTTGGCGCTACTCCAGTATGCACCTACGAAAAGCTCTGACATGACCAGCTTGATCACTGCCTAATGAGTATCGAAATTGGGAAGAGAGAGGTCTGGATGAACTAAGCTGTAGGGCTTGCTTGAGTACAAGAAACATCCAAATGGAGAGGTAAATGGATTGGTGTGAAACTTGAGGTTGCAAGAGGTTATCGTCTAGGCTTTGGACTGATCCTGAATGAGACTCATTCAGCGTAGTGAAAGAAGGGCTGAGCTGCAGACGAGACCGTTGATTTGATGAGGTCGGAGGCTCATGCGATAAAACATCATCGACGGGAAAAAGCTGCCAGTACACCCAGAGCTATCTAACATCGGCACGAGACGACGCGTTAATCCCACTGTGTAATAAGCGATCCATTTCGATAGCCGTCAACATGGACGGAAACATACCTCACGCCACGATCACGTTACACTACAATTGCACGTCCTGCTCACTTATCTTGAAAGAACCCACTTCTCTGGAGACAAGCGAAGCGTCAGCTCTTGATACTTGCCCCAACAAAAACCGCTATTCTGCCTTGTGAGTGAGCTATCCACTATGGGCGATACTGCAGTACACATAATCGCTGTAGCTGAATAGTCAATCGAGGGAGAGATGGAAACGTAACAGTAGCAAGGCGATGAAAGCTCATTTCTGGTGAGAGTGCGGAGTGAGAGCCTGTGGAAGCGAATTTCCAAATGACGAAATCTTTCAAGTTCATGTGAACGTCTAATTTGCCCAGGGTTTTGTTCGACAACCTCTGTAGAGCATCGATATTGAAGGCCACAACCAGCGTGTTGATAATATTCGAACAAATGCCAACTGGAACAGACATAGTACCCGTGGGATATTGGGGGGGGGGATTGTGTACTCGCTCATTTACGGGTTAATCTTTCTGTGCAATCGGACCCTAAGACTATCCAAAACTGTTGTTTATAAAGGACTAAATCTTCCTTCATTTTTTTTTCCATCACTTAGCCGGGATGCATCACGATATACTCCTGACAAGCTCATCATCGGCTATGAATTTCATCTCAAGGTATCTCTTGGAACATATGAATTTTTGTGGAACCTTTTCTATAGCAACAAATATAATTATGGGCTGTTCTAATGATTTTCCCCGCATTGCTTAGCACCTTAGAGAAGGATTCCACGATATGGGCGAAGGTCGGAGAAGGAGAAACTCACCTAGTAGAAAACAGGCGGACCTTCTAAGGGTGTGAATCGGCAAGCAATCCGCAGCGAAAGACTTGCTCCCGGTGACCATTACCGCAGCGCTATAGACACGCCACGCCCACCGATTGGCTATCGACTGGCCGCAGGTCTCTAGAGGCTTAGCGGAGAGTGTTAGCGTTCAAAAAGCAGCACCGATGAGAGTTGCATCAACAAATCAACGAGTGAGGAAAGGATTTCATTTCACGGATTCTGAGCCTTTCTCATGTTTTTTCTTCATCCCAGTACTTCTGATCACCTCTACCTTAATTCTAATGAGCTGCCTTTCAGTCGCAAACTCCGCCTGGATACATTGACGACAGCGTGAGGCGCATGTACTTTAAGTTTTCACACTGTGGAGACTCGCTTCGCTCGACTTATTGCCTCTCATTTGAAACTGTTTTTATGAATATGCATCCAGAAAAAATGAATTCATTATCAGCACAAAAGTGTTGAAGGGGCAATGATGACTGCGAGAAAAATATATTTAAAAATGCCAAAATACGAGCAGCGGGCTGTCTTTAATGTGCTGAATTTCATTTTCATCCTTCAACCAGGGTAGCGTACCCACTGACTCCAGGTCTCATCACGCTAGCAACTATGTAGCGAGCGACCATACAAGGCTGGTAAAAAGATGACCGTGAGGCCAAATTTTGAACCAGGTGCCTGAGTCAATCACAGTGACCGCAAAACAGATATAACAAAAGTAAAACGAAGCGTTTATTCCCCCGATGGTACATGGCAATGAAGCAGAAAGCTGGGCAATGAATGATACAAGCGAATAGGTGACACCTCGACCGATAAACTTTTCCGATTTCACTCAGCTTCGAACGTCTCTGCTGCTTCTTCGTCAGCGGTTGCTTCCTGAAATCGCTGACATCGAAGTTTTGATAGTTGATAGGTTTTGGCAGTTGATTTCTGGAGCTTAGTTTGTCATGGCGCTTACTCACTAAGTAAGGCAGCACAATTCTTCGACTTGGTGTTGACAATGGGTCAACTTGCTAACATAATCACTGAAAGAGTGTTCTACTGGGTCACAGTACAGCCGTTTGTTGTACGCTCATCCACACAACAATGCAAAACTGATGAAGAGATAACACTATCAGCGCTGTGGTTGTTTCGGAATTTAACTGAAAAATCAATACCTGATATTGTTGGTATTCGGAAACCAGGTCGTTCATATTCGATTCAGCTTCAGTGAATTCCATTTCGTCCATACCTTCACCAGTGTACCAGTGAAGGAAAGCTTTCCGGCGGAACATCGCTGAAACAAAGCTACCATTAGTAGCAGGCGATCACTAAAGGCAGTGATTACAGTAGATTTAAAAAGGGTCTGTAAGCAAATGGTGGTGCTCAATGGCACGCCAGTGGCGAAAAGAAAACCCAAAAAAACCCTTTTTTGTTTGTTGCTTTTCGCTCATGAACAGCTAGCAACTAAGAAAACAGACGTATGAATGAGTTCACAGCAATGCGTTTGGCGGTACCATCCCAAGCCACACTCCAATCGAGTTGCTCCGATTGTGCCGCTGCTGGCAAGGCAGCTCGTCCAAATCACCAAGTAAATCAATGGGCGGATCGTTTTTTGGGGCGGAGGGGTTTCGAGGTCCTGCTCAGCAACCAGGCATTGTTCGTGGTGAGAGCGCCACACCTCGCTTTCGTGGCATCCAAGTAACTGGTGCATATGCTTCCCCGATGCGCTCCATCTTTATCATAATCGCTGCCTTTAAGCTCCGCATTAGGTCAGCTAGGTGTACGATCATACTGGCGTAGATTCCGTAGTTCTGGAAACGCGATGGATGACGTCCCTTAACAATTTTTATCCCTGATTTTTCAGTATAGCAGAGTGCTCACTTGGGGAAGGCGAGTAGCGTACTGTTAGGAATCTTTTTCTGAGAAAGTGCAATCAGGTGACTGCGCCTAGGGAAAGAGCATCAGAAAGAAAACTGCACATTAATTATCCGTGCTTGTCACACACCTATTACTATATGCTACTGTCCTAAAAAACTCCACGGGTTGCGAAGCTAAGCGGATAAAATCGCACGCGAATTTTTTAACGACGCTTTCCGCGCAGAACAAGTGGTTCGATAAATCGGTCGTTTATGAAATTAAAGGTAGGGGTGCTTAGGATTGCGACAGTGAGGAAAAGGGAACGCCCTAAAGCTTGTAAAACGAAACTCTTGTTTTCCCATATTTCTGCACTGGACAAACTCAACAATTCCAACGCCATAAACGTGAATTTCTGCTCTGCCCGCTAAAGGGCTAGAGCCCGATGGCGAGGGCCTGGCATCTGAGGCAGCTAATCGAAGGGTGGCAGAGGCACGAAAGCTTTTAGAGGAACGAAGAAATTACCACATACTGCCTGAGCGCTGTCTTCGCGAGCGCGGCAAGCGCGACCGCTGCGTGCAGTGGTTCACTTTCCTTACCGGAAGTGTAAGGCCCATGTCACACTCTGCGAATCGAGGGATTCGCTAGCGTCCCCGATCGCGCTACGATACCAGCCAATTGAGCGGCTTGCTGGCCGTGACGTGACCTAGCGACGGACGCTAGCGAATCGCTCGATTCGCAGTCTGACAGGCCTAAGGGCGTGGCATGTGAAGGGCGGCGCGGATAAGCTTTGTACGACCGACAACCGCTAAAATGAAACGTCCCACTCTGTGTCGTCACTCCTTAGACGTCTCCAAGTGTTCCTCCTTAGGTACGAAATATGAACATTGTGGATGAAGAGAGCAGGCATGACTGAGCATGACACACTACCGTACACATCCGGATGTCTACAGTGTTTAGCCATGGACATCTAGCCCTGCTGCTTACGTAAGCTGCAGTAAGTTTGCCCTGGTCTGTCTTGCACGTTGCTTTAAGAAGGATACAAATTTTTTTACCAGTGAATTGCTCTGAGATCCTCTTGAAAAGTTCCTGAATGGCAGTCGAATTACCGATGAAAGTTGCTGACATTTTCAAACCACGCGGAGGTATATCGCAAACGGCAGTCTGAAAATAACTCTTGTTCATGTCTCTGAAAACTCATTTCTGATTAGAATCTTGACGTTTGCCTTCGGTGACCAGGAACAGAAAGCTGCCCTAATAATCAATCAGAAAGTGGCATTTAACTTGATAATTCAAAGGTGATCTCGCTGTAGTGTGAAAGTATTGCGAAGTTCACTCGAGCAAGTAGTAGGTCGGATGAGTGTAGGAAGTCCGACTTCGACGCTGGGATTCGTTGCGGAATGTTTTCACTATCAGCTAACGTCTCCTTCTCCTTGTAACACCACTACAGGGTTCACACTCGACAGCTCCCGAAGAGCTGCTCACGTCAATAAATAATGCATAAAATTACCTTTACGTTATTCGGAATCCAGTCAACGAAATACGAAGAGTTCTTGTTCTGAATGTTCAGCATCTGTTCGTCGACTTCCTGAATGATTGCGTAATAATAAAGAATGCCTTGTACTTTTCATTCCTTCCAAAGTAGGAGCGGAGTTTAGTGAAGAGTATTTTTTCATGCTTTAAAATATTTTTTCCCTTTAAAAGTTATTTTCTGAAAGTCTGACCAAAGCATGTCATGACCAGAGCTGTTTGAGTACTATCTTACGTATACCACGTTAGCGTTCAAGTACTCAAAGGCAGCGATTACGATAGGTTTTAGAGGTTTTCAGGGGACGTGAGGGTGCTCAATGGTACGTCAATGGCGAAGAAAGCAGAGAATTCCGTCAAGAAAACGGTAAAAGGAGAGCCTCATTTGGCCGCTGATCTTCGCCGAAGACGGGAAGCGGCTAAGACGGCGAACGAGTGGATGAGTTTATCGCAGCGCGTATGATGGCACCATGCCAAACCATTCTCCAGTCGAGTTACTCCATTTGGCCGCTGCTAGCAACACAGTTCGTCCGAATCGCCAACATAACTAGTGGGCGGATCACTTTAGGGGCGGAGTGCTTTCGAAGTCCTGTTCAGCAACCAGCGCATTTCTCATGTGGAAGCCCCACACCTCGCTCCTTCGGCAGCCAAGTAACTTCTTCGTGTAGCTCATATACAATACTTCCCGATGCGCTCTCGCTTTATCGTAATCGCTTCCTTTAGTTATGACTGTGTATATATTATTATATATGTATTGTGGGGACCAGCCGCCAGCCAATGCACAAGGAGAGATGGACACCCTTTAGCTCGAACGCTGTACGATCCAGGATTTGGCTCCTGGACAGCAGGGTGAATAACGGTCGAGGATTTCCTCGACCATAGCTCTCTGCGTGAGAGTAATGCCGAGAGTGGACATCCGCGCGGAGGACACAGACGGCACGCCCATGGCGAGTGTGAATGTCCGCGCGAGAGATCATGTCTGACCGGGCAGAGAATCCTCGACGTGCCGTTGTGGAATCCTCAAGCGATATTCACCCTGCTGGGCAGTGCGCGAAACAGAGCGCCACTTACCACTCTGCACCTTCGCCCGTGTGCAAACATATTTGTGACGAAGCGTAGCCTTCAGAGGATTCAAGGGTGTAAAGAAAGAAAATGACAGGTAAAAACAAAGAGAGAAATACTATTACAGTATATTCAACAAGTCTCATAAGCGAGGCCGACGGCATAACTAACTATATTATTAACTATATTATTCAACAGGATTCTTTTGAAAGGTGATGTTCCAGAGGTTTGGCGCGTGGGATGGGTGAAGCCTATCCACAAGAGAGGCCCTAAAACGGATTATCGAAATTACAGGCCTATTTGTTTGACCTCTTGTGTCAGTAAAGTAATGGAAAGAATTGTATGCTCACGCATCAAAGAATACCTCGCTCGAAATCGCCTCTTATCTCAGTGCCAACAAGGATTTCTGCCCAACAAGTCGTGTTTCAGTGCCTTAATGGCTACTATCCCATTGTGGCAAAAAGAACTTGATAAGAGGAAATCTGTCTTTGTAGCATATGTTGATTTCAAAAAGGCATTTGACTCAGTTCCGCTGAATCTTTTGTTTTCTAAGTTAAGAATATTCGGAATTTCAGGCTCGCTACTAAGATTTCTTGTTTCATTTTTATCCTCTAGAAAGCAAGTCGTAAAGATCAACGCAGCTTTTTCAGAACTGTATGAAACACCTAGCGGAGTGCCTCAGGGCACGTGTTTGGGACCGCTGATGTTCCTTATGTACATAAATGATCTTCCGCAACAGTTGCCTGAATCGGTTAAGTGCACAATGTATGCGGATGATGTTAAGTTATTCTGCATTGTTGAGCCGCATATCTTACAGCTTTCCTTAGATGCTTTGCAGCGGTGGTCAACCGTATGGGGTTTGAAAATATCTACTGATAAAACTTACGTAATGAAAATAGGATCTGTTTCCGACCGCAATAGTTTCATGCTTGACGGCTCTCCAATTGCAGAGCCTCAGCTTATAAGAGATCTGGGTCTCAAGTATGACAGAGCTTTATCTTTTGATGAGTATATTAAAAGCGTTATAAATTTAGCCAAATCCCGCTGCAACCTCATCATCTGCGCCTTTTCCAGCAGGCATATGAAAACTCTTTTCGCACTTTACACAGCTTACGCTAGGCCCTTCTGAAGTACTGTGCGCCAATATGGTCGCCAACTACTCAGGCGCTAGTTGGCCAAATAGAACAGGTTCAGGTTAGATTAACAGAGAGGATTTTTGCTAGAGCGGGGCTTTTCCACATCCAATATGAAGATCGGCTCAGTTATCTCGGTGCGACAACGCTTGAGATGAGGAGAAAGGTTATGGATTATGACGCTATATACAAACTCTCTAAAGGGGAGATTGATATAGATTTCGATCTGCTTTTTAGGAAGTCTGCAACTATAGGCAGGACACGAGGGCATTGCTTCAAGCTCTTAAAAGAGAAGGCTCATTCATCAAGGTACAAAAATAGCTTTTCGCAGAGAGTTATCTCATTCTGGAACAGCTTACCAGCCGATGTCGTTAACTCAATGACGTCAAAATCCTTCAGAAAGAGGATAAGTCAAATACTCAGAAGTCAGGGCTGGCATTAAAATTTGATATTGTTAGTCAGATGGGTCGCTAACTCAGGGACAGCTGCACAATTGTGATTGAGTGTTGTAAGTAACTGTAATTGAGAACAATTCCTTATAGCATTCACCTTTTTGCTCTTCCGTTGTGATTTCCTTCTTGTTACGTAACCTTGTGAACGAATGTGATTTGTAAGCTAATATTGGGTTTTTTTGGAATCTTTTTGTTATGCTTCGCAACGGTTGTTGTACCCTTGAATGGCTCGAAATTCTGGGTAATTCTTTCTTAACTTTTTTTAATTATTTAACCCCCGTCGTTAATCAGTGTGGCCTTGCCAGACAGAGTTGACGGACCTACAAACTGTATCGGACCGCTATCACCTTTGCGACTTGCAGTGTTGGCGGGCCACTGCTCATTACGAAGCCAAGCGTCCCACCTCCTCCTTTCCCTGCTCCACCCTTCTTGAGCCATTTTGAGTCTCGATTTTATTCAATTTTTTTCTCCCTCGCTTGCTTATCGGTTACCTGTTAGTTAATTATGTTCTGGTTTGTGATCCTTATCAATACCGATAATAAATCATAATCATAATCATAACTCAAAAACCTAACCAGTTCCAGTAACTGAGGTTTACCATACCTATGTATTCAAGCTTCAAAAACGGAGGGGTTCAGTACACTCATAAGAAGAAGGCAAAAAACGGTTTAGCGCACATAATGTAATATTTAGTCGTGGTCCTTGAGTTTTTAGATTTCAACTGACCTTCATGCTCATTCGGCCACGGAAAATTGCAGCTGCAGTCAAATATCTGCCATGACGTGGATCGCATGCCGCCATCATGTTCTTCGCATCGAAGCATTGTTGTGTTAATTCGGAAACCGATACGGCGCGATACTGAAAACTGAGTCATAGGGGCATACGGAAGAGTATCCGGGATGGAGTGGAACGAGATTTACAAAACAGCATTGAAAGGTATATAAGGTACATATACTCACTATGGGTCCTATCCTTCATTTTCCCATACATAGAGCACGTTTCCCCTCAGAACTAACTTGGTTGAACTAACCCTTTATGCATTCTTCTGATTACTGATCTGTGACTCCTTGCAGTGTTAAAGGCAAGCTTTGGGATCAAATACGTGGGAAGGGGCGTACAATCATGATGGACAGCGATTAGAAAATAAGGAAGAAATCAAATGAAATGTTCGGTCGCACCCTTACCAAATCACCCCTCTCTGCAACCCGCATTCAACCGTCCGTATCGATTTCTGGTCTAAAGTTAAGAAGTTGCCTCAGGGCCATTTCCTAACTTTAGACCAGAAATCGATACAGACACGGAATTTCGGCACAAATGGATGACTCCGTTCCTTATTTTCGAAATCCCCTTTCTTCCTTATGCAAAAATGAAGGAAGGAACCCCTTCGTTTATGGTTTTTTTTTCTTGAAAGAAGTCCAACGACAGTTCGCACCATGATTAGCATGCTCGATATTGAGTCGCAATCTAGCTCTGCCTATGCCGTTCTTCTAGTGGTGACTATGTGGCAGCGATGACGAAAGGCGGGGCTTGCGGACAAAGGTGTGGATTGCGGGAGGAGCGAGTTTCCAGCGCATTTGTCGTGCAGTTTCGAGCTGCAAAGGGCGCACGAAGCTCCCTTTGCAACTCGAAACTCGACTCAACGTTTGTCCGCCTGCATACCGCGATCGGAGATGGAACAGGTAAGCTCGCCGAACTGGAGCGTGCCTTCAAGCTAGATTCTGCAGAAATGATTGGCGTGCGAGAACAGATAGTGAGAGTAGGAAGAAGAAGACATTGGCGCACGTTTAGAACACCCTTGAAAGGTATAGATACATCTGCTGGTCCTGTCTACCGTAGTTTAGCGAACAGGAGATGCTCAGTTGCCGTCTGTCTGGCAATACTGCAGGAGTGCGCCACTAAATACAAAGTACAGCGAATATCCCTTTAAGTACACTTTCACATTTTGCAGTTGAAGGCAAAACGCGTTCTAAGTCTAGAGACGAGTCGTCAAAAATGGTTAAATTATCGTCAGCACTTCGGGAGGTGTGGTTTAACCCCTTTTTCAGCAACGGTTGGCATTCGGCATCGTGCCTCCTGGCGTACTCCACCTAATGCATTTACCATATCGCATTGACGACAGCGCCCGCTTTTGGTCCCGTGGGACGAGCGCAGCGGCCTCACCTCACAAACATGGATTTAGAGTGTGATAACGCAAAACATGTGCGGCACAGAATGATTCAGTAAGGTTCGTTTCGCTCAAGTCAAAGGATATTTTGCAGAATTTAGCCAAAATAAAGTGTAGCGACATAGACGAAACAAGATTTATCAGTCTTGCTGTTATGACTTTGAACACCATTTCAACTTTATTTGTTTCCGTAGAACAAATATTTGCCATCCCAAAACTTTCCATTTATCATTCTCATCATTCTGATAAGCAGCAGAAAAGAATGAAGCGAACCAAAGATTTCCCAACGCTTCAAAACGTTCGCTTTGCAGAAGAACATAAAAGGAACTTTGGAAGCACTCGCGCATGCGCAAAAACATGCCATGGGTGCGATCTGCTTGCGGTTCGCGCTGTCCCACGCAGCCTGTAATGTGCGGACTGTGTGCGAGTGTTGCATCACTTGCTTGTAAGCGTCACCTTGAGAGACCCATCCACCTTGAATTTCTGAACTTTGAACAGCACTCACTGCAAGCGATAGCGCATGATTCTCGCCACCACGCGACCTTTCAGAACGCCCATGATCAATTAATATAGACCCTGCATATAGACAAGTAAAGAACCTGCTGATTGCTTCTTGACGTCAGCGGAGCGAAACCAGGCATGAAAAAGTGTAGACGTGGGAACGGCACCATATTGACGGCTAGTTTGCGGAGATCTGCGTTCAGCTGAAAGACTTCTTCAAGAAGGATGGTAAGTGCGCCATCAGTCATTTTCAGAGAAGACATAAGAGAATAAACGTTCAACGACATAAGAGAATAAAATCACGAGAAAATCACTCCTACCTGTCCTGGGAAGCGAAGGCATGTGGTAACACCACTCATTGTGGCTGATACCAAATGATTTAGATCACCATAGGTTGGAGTAGTGAGTTTTAGTGTGCGAAAGCAGATATCATACAAAGCCTGAACAAGCGATGATCTCTTACTTTCACGTGGTCTTATTTAATTTCCTGAAACAGGAATAAAAACTTATTCAACCGCCCACCGGAAAATGGCACTCATAGTCTTTCATAACTATTACAATATTAACACTTTTAAGACCAGTAGAGTGAATGCTATCAACAAGCAATGAAAGTCTAGTGAAACCGTAGTCATGAATTACCATCATGGCAAGTGACATACCTCATTATCGATGCAGAATGTCTCGTCAGTGTTCTCGACGAGTTGATGAACTGAAAGGGTGGCATTGTATGGCTCGACGACCTGGAATAAAAAATGGTTATAGCAACAATCCAAGAACGAATTCGCGGGCAGAAACCACCTAGTTGTAATTGGAACGTTGACCAATAATGAAAAAAAGTAAAAAAAAACGTCGAACAGGAACTTAGACAGGGATTCTCCCTCTGCTGCTTAGCAATGGGGAGGAAGTGCGCTGGACGAACTGTCCGAACCCCTACCCGCAGTAAATGCGCCCCAGTTGCAAGTGCTGGTAATGCCAGTAATTGCAATTAGGCGCAATAATGAATCGTAAAAAAGGACCGAGTTGAAAGACTCCCTGTAGCCCCAAAACTCACGAATGCCGCCGCAGCCAATCACGGCTGACAAGGGGCGGTCCTGAGGAATTTCCGAGTACACCCGCTTTTGAGGAGCTTTACGACTTTTTTTTGCGGATTTCGAGTTGAGTTCTGTTGATATCTCCCCTTCATATGTTCTCTATTAGGCCTAGTGTATCCTTCAATCGCAATAGCATTGAAAGTAATGAAAGTAACAGACCCAGCCTGGACTGTTGCTTTATCATTTATAAATACCTAATGAAACGGGTAAAAAGCTCAAAACTCGAAAAAAATTATTAAAGTGACTTATTTCTTGAACAGAGATGGACAATGGGCTCCCGTAATGCGACCAGGCCAGGATGGTTCGCGACAGTTCTACTGGGTAGATAGGCAATCAGCTTCACGACTTTGCTCCTACAGCAGCTAACACTTTTAGCTCATGAAATTTGCAATAGGACGCAATGCATGAACAGACAAACGATGCAGCAGTGAAGAATTTAAGTGGAGAAGGAGTCAATGCTTTAGCAATAATCAGCTTGTCCATTCAGACTAGAATGCTGTGTACGATCGCCAAAACGCGAAACTCTTTTTAGAAGTTCAGAAAGTGCTCTCTGTGCCCATAGAATAGTTGCCAGGAACCTCTCAGGCTATTTGATTTTTGGCCCCTTATTCGCGTTCTGTGCAATAGTCAGAAATGGATAAGATTGAAGTTAGGGGTGTGCGTTCTCATTAGATCTTCCTTCCGAGGGCACAAATATTAGTTGGTGGTTCAATCAGTAATTTAATTTATCATTTACCGTATCGGAGACTTTCGGGCTGGGCACCACTGAAAAAGTGTTCATGATTCGATCAGGATACTCTTCACGAATCTTCGAAATCAGCAGAGTGCCCATGCCAGAACCAGTGCCACCTCCAAGAGAATGCGTCATTTGAAAACCCTGAATTCATCAATAAAGCGGTCTACAAAGTAAGTGTCACACCTTGCTGATTCCCAGGACTACCGCCTACCTGGAGGCAATCACAGCTCTCAGCCTCTTTCCTGACTACATCGAGCACGCTGTCGACAAGTTCTGCACCTTCTGTGTAGTGACCCTTCGCCCAGTTGTTACCAGCGCCTGACTGCCCTGCAATTAAAACTTTTCGCATTCTCTCTTATTATTTACATCACTAAGGATTAAGGTAGTAAATGAAATGCTGGCCCTATACGAATTTCCCATTCCTGCAATAAAGATAATTTTTACAAAATGTGATAATAGGATATGTGCGACATGTGGTATCCGGCTGATTATACTTTGCGCTGAACTTCGCCCTCTTGCTTTTTTCACCACACCGCTATAATGGTCACAATCACCATCATACATTCAGAAATTTCTGGTCTTATCTGAGAAATATCCCCTTTCATTTACACATTTTAATTTTAATTAATGCTCCTTCCGCGCTCAGCGCAGAACCTATACCAACTTTGACAACCTACAAAACCTTGGTATGTGAGGATGCAACATACCAAAAACATAATTATCTGGACGGAACAACTGTCCGAATGGTCCTGCGCGAACCGAGTCCATGGTGCCAGGCTCGAGATCCACTAGCACAGCCCTAAAAACTCAAAATTTTTTATGAACTAATTCATGATTTAGTCCTATTTATTGTCTAATTGAAAAGAGAAATACAACTTCAGGGGATTTTAAACAACTCATTTTTTTTCTACCCAACCATTCTTGATTGTCTCATTTATCAAGTGCATAATGGGTTGTTGCCTGTCCGTTTATGCGCAGCACGCAGTGCGATATAATGCCCAGTGGCCCGGGCTGAACAGGCAGAGCAGGATTACGCATTCATGACTTGTGCATTACCAAGAAGCTCCTATCTGATGCATTTCTAAGTATTCAAATGGTTGTGGAGAGGCGTCTTGCTAGACGTCGCCCCTCACCATAATTATCGTGCTACGAAGTTGGTCCATGCTCCACTCGGTGACGCTAAAGTCTGTCTTTCATCAAAAAATAATCGATGTCGCCCGAAGAACTATTTTTGCTTCAATGATGAGAAAGATGTCAGGGGTTAAAAAATGACTCCGCGAAAGGGTATTAAGGCTATACCGAAAATCGGCTCCGGTTTCTTCCGACAATAGTTCCCTGGATAGCAACCAGCAGACGATTGGCTGCTAACTGCGCGTCGAGAAAACCCACGCCAGATGGTAATCAGATTAGTCATGAAAATGTAATGATGGCCACATGTTATGGACATCTTAAATCTACTGCTAATACCAATGTAATATTCCAATCGTGCCCATATACATATCATTCGCCTAATACATAATTCCCTCAACAAATGCACTTTCTGATGAAATGCAAGGTGTCACGTTGGGTTTTGTGCTCAGGCGTTTTGTAGAGACTCCATGTCAGAAAAAAACGTTCAAGAAGCACCTTTCGTAGGATGCAACGATTAACATCAAAAGCCAGTATGCGTATAAGATACAAGTTTAGCAGCATTTCGTCGCTAAAGTGCGGCGTGCAGGTCACTGTATTTCGGGCTTGAGCTCGTTTGGTGTGGCTCTTACTCAAAAACCCCAAGCACAAACGCTCAAAGAGAAAAGACACTTCTGACAGAATTCCATCAACTCTATTTCGCTTGCTTCCTACTCTTTTCCTGGCTTCAAAGAAAGAACAAAAGAAAAGTTAAAGTAAATGCAAAACTTGATGAATGGTGAGATGCGTGTTTTCAATTTAACATCGAGGCGACAATGCCTTCGATTTCCACTGCAGACAAGCTTAATAAAATTTGCTTTCTTATTGCCATTACACGTCCGCTTACATGAACGTCCAAAATTACCTGGATAGCTTAATTTGCGCATTATTACTGGAATTAGCCTAATTTCCGTATATAAGCCCGCGCCGACATAATTTGTACACCTCAGGAACTCCCATAAATTTGCCTGTAGAGGATATTCGATGGCCTGACTACGAGAAATGATTTCAATTTTAGCGGTGGCGCCATCTGGCGCCAGTTGGCGTCATCTTGTCACATGACATGTGTTTTCATCAAATCTGAGTATACTTTATTTGGTTCCTGATTAAGAACATGACATTCACTCTGAGCGATGGCGCTATTTTTCGCCTAATTTTTGCTCGTCTGCGCTTTCAACCGAGAAATATGCGTTGAACAGGGTCATTACCAAAAGCGAATGACATAATCACAATCAGGGCACCAAATAACCCCTGTGCAGAAGTTTATACCGATTTTTATGGTAACATGGGTCGTGACAAGGTGGCGACACCGCTAAAAATGAATGTCGTTCCTGTGATCAGCAAATCGAAGTTATGGTCAAGTTACGGTTGTCTCGAGATGTACGCAACTGCACTGCACCAGCGAAGCTGCCTTTACGTGTTACGTCGCGGACTTACCTACCGGAAATTAGGGTACTCTGAGCTTTTTGGAGTTTTTTCTTTCGAAAAGAATACTTCAAAAAGCTTCTAGTTGAGGCAGAGAACAGGCGAAGTTTGAAGAGGGGCAAAAAGGAAATTACCGAGCATTGTTTCAAGATTCCATGCTTGTAAACCGCAAATGGAACTCGTTGCTGCTCTATACCTGAGATGGAGGAAATCGTGGCAGCATTCTACTCTTCACTCTTCAGATCGGAGCTTCCAATCGTCAGGGAAAGAAGACCAGTTCTGAAGGAAGTGCTCCCTTTTCTAACATCGGAGGTGCGCCATGCCATCGAAACAATGCCTCGAGACAAAGCGCCGGGAAGAGACGGCATCACCACAGAACTCCTACGTGCATGCGGACCCCCTTTATATCGAGCACTTGCAAGGAGGTACACTCGCTATCTGGCTGAATGTGCGGTCCCAGCGGCGTGGAAGCAGTCCTCGACGATGTTGCTGTTCAAGAAAGGCGACAAAGAAGATCTAGCGAATTATCGCCCTATCACGCTTCTTCCAGTACTTTATAAGGTGTTCACACGCTGTATACTGGCACGTATTCGCAGGCCACTAGAAGAAGCCCAGCCGACAGAACAAGCGGGTTTCGTCGGAGCTTCAGCACTCTGGACCACATCGTAACTTGCCGACGCCTCATCGGAGCAGCCCGTGAGCACCGCCCTTCCCTTGTGATGACCTTCATTGATTACAAGGAGGCATTCGATTCGGTGGAGCCAGAGAAGGTCTGGGAGGCGCTGGAAGAGCAAGGCGTTGAAAGGATCTACGTGGATGTACTGCGAGAATGCTACTCTGAATGTACAACAGTACTACATCCTTTCTACAATGATGTTGTGGTAGCAGTTCAGAATGGCGTACGACAAGGCGATCCAATATCGCCAAACCTGTTTCCGCATGCCTAGAGCATTTCATACGTCGCTGCGACTGGAGCAATTTTGGCGTCAACATCAACGGTGTGCGTCTCAATCATTTGCGTTTTGCCGACGACATCGTGTTGATCACAAACTCTCCAGAATACGCTACTGAAATGCATCGTCTGGAGCCATTATGGTCTGACTATCAATACCTTTAAAACCAAAGCCATGCGAAACCCATTCTCAGGCAGCTTCCCCGTACTTTTGAAAGGAAGTCCCATTGAAGACGTTGAAGAGTACGTGTACCTCGGGAGCCAGCTTAACATGAAGAACGACCTGGCTGGAGAGCTAGCAGGACGGCGCAAGGCTTGATGGGCTGCGTTTTCCTCTATAAGAAGCGTAATAGAAGACACCAAGGATCGCAAACTCCGAGTGGACCATTTCAACTCAACGGTGTTGCCTGCCCTCAGCTATGCAGGAGAAACCTGGGCACTAACGAAATCACAGGAAAGGCAATTACTATCTACCTAAGCATCGATCGAACGCCGTCTTCTGGCTTTGACGTTGAGTCGCCAACGAGAGCTGAAACTTCATTATTCTAACGTTAGAGCCATGTCACAGATAAAAGATATTCTTCTTCACGTCGATGAGGCGAAGCACAGGTTCGCCGGCCACCTGATGAGGAGGGATGACGGACAATGGAGTTCGGCTGCTATGCGATGGTACCCCCGCGAGAAGAAACGGCCGCAAGGTCGTCCTCCTTTACGATGGGCAGACTCCCTTGCTCATCGAAACAACATCTGTGATCCAGAGTCCTTTAGGGTGACCACACACTGGACAACAATAGCCCAAGATTGAGAACAATGTGAAAGAAGTTGGGACACGCGCAAGGCCAACCGCCGTGCTGTTAGACGGGGCGTCTGAGTATTCTAAGTGAGTATTCTGAGCTTTTTACGTTTTTGTTCCTTCACTACTAGAAATTCAAAGGCAAAGTTCGGGCTCAGGCCCACCTAAGAAGCCCTTACTATGGCTAGAATTGCTAGGCACCCAAGTGCAAAGTTAGCGCTACCATTTTACATCGAAACCCGTCACCAGGATCCTAGGCGCCATGAAATTCGAACGGACTCCATCAAAAATAACATGGTCCATGATCGATGTCTTGTCTGCGTCGCTGCGTTGGTCTGCTGTGCCATCTCTTCTCGGAATTTACCACCGTCTGCGCTCACATTATCTTTCATCTCCCTACCTGTCTTTTGAACTTCTCCACCATTGAGAAATGCTCGTATTTCCTGTGCATGTCAGGATTTTCTTTCCTTTTTTCTCCACGGTATACCTCTCATCCTTACTTTCACACTTGGGTGGAATCAACCCATCAATGTAATCCTGATTCTTGCCTTTAAGAGTGTGAGGGGAGGCGGCGGCCGCAAAATCCCCTGTCCCACACCCGCGACAGGAGCCGTCGACGTGGCAGAGACGCATGGGGTCAGGACAGACGAGACGTAGCGCGTATTGTGTGATGTGGCACGTACTATAGTACATTCTATCTAACTTGAAGCTTAATGGCTGTGCGCGCTGCGACTCGTCCGCTGATCCGTCTGCGCCTCTGCCTTCTCACCGAGCGATGGGTCTTCTTTCGGAACCCCCGAAACGACAATATTCGTATGTCTTGAGATAAGCTTCGGAAGCATGAACCACATAAAGACAGAAAAAATTTCTTTCTATGAGAGGTGCAAAACCATCTGCGTCTTGCCTAGAATTTGACATGAGGAAGCAAAAAAAGTACATAACACTATATCATGGAGATCGTATCCAGACACTTGTATGTGCAAGCGATCCGTAAGAGCCTCACATACACGAGTTTCCCACAAAGCAGAATTCGAAGCAAAAAATGATAAGTGTATTATGGAGTCCTCAAGCTCATTTGCCTAGACATTTTCAGTGAGCGAAATGTTCATATAATTCGCTAGAGTGAATCAGCAGCAGATATTCCGAGTGATTCCTTTCAAAAGTTGACAAAATCGAACAAAGGATAGAGGAATGTTTCATGAAAATGATGAGAGAAAAAATTTCTCCCCATGTTCTTCATGCAAATTCATATGTTTCTTATAACATGCCGGAGCCAACCAGGAACTGAATGGAAGATCACCTCAAGCTGGATTTTGACAGAATATCGGCAGAGCCCTGACTTTTTTCACGATAATGCTGGGTTGTGAACAAAGCTTTTGCTCCAGAGGGGAATCGAACCTGCACCCCTTACCTACCGGGCAAGTGCGCGACAAGTTTTTTGTTAAAAAATAATGCCTGGCTCAACCTTGATGTCCATCGTTTTCGTCTATTTTTTGTTTTTTTTATTGTTTGATATTCTTTTGTTATTGCCATGCCACCTCGAAAGGAAATTGTAGAACCTAACCTGGGGACATATTTGCTGTGTCCAGCCTCGTTGTAATAGACACAGATACGTTCGAGTTGAAGATCTGAGTCGCCGACATACTGTCCAGTGGGATCGATGCCGTGCTCATCCGAAATCACTTCCCAGAACTGAAATTTTGGGACAGACTTAAAGTTTTCAATTTTGAAATGTATGGACCACAACCACACATGAAGCGAAATTATGACAGGGCTGTAACGTGTACACATATTTTTTAAGCCCTTCACCTCACGTTGTACGCTGAGTAAATTCCGTGTCAGGAGATAGCTAACGCCAGACAAAGACAATAGAGAATCTTAGACAGAATGAGGCATTGGTCTCAAGGGGAGAGCAATATGAACTTAGACGGAATTCCACCCAGTAGTCAATTCGGCTGACGAGAAAGCGGATGCATGTCAAGAATACATTTTCTAATAATACAAAACACGCAATTTCACACTTCTCTTTTGCGCCGTGAGCTTGTCTTCCAGTCAGAATCGCAAAGATTTTGTATGTAATGGCTTGACGCTTCGCCTACTGCCCAAACCACTGCTTTAGTACTTTCAGCGGTCCATCAACTTGACGATCCCGTTGGGATGAGACACTCAATGTTAACTGACTTAAATGTGATTTAATTTGTCGATCGAACGCCTTACGCGGAAAATCTTGACAATCCCCACACCCTGTACCTAAATCACTCAAAAACTACGGAAACCCAAAGTTCTACTATGTCACGTTCCGAAATTCGCCGTCAGAGTTTCGTAGGAGCTATCAGCGCTTTTCATAGCCGTGGCACTACAGGATCCTACAGCACAAAAATTAAGGGACGCATCATCCAAGCATGCACGCACCCATTTCGTGATGGTTTCTCCTTGAATAGTAGTCGTATTTTTAAGTGCTGAAAAATGCCGCCCATGTATTAACAGCCATCTACGACCGGATAGGAATATTACCAAAGCATGGATCTGTACATGGGATCATCCTGTATCAAAGTCCTGTCCTGTTCCAAGGCCGTTTAGTCGTGCTTTGACGAATTCCAAGGAGAAGGAGTTGTGCATAGTCAAATTCCTAGGTGGCAATCGGTTCTACGGCGCCACCTATGCATAACGTTTTATGTACGGTTACACAACTACTAAAACATACGTACAGTTGCATATTTGTTTTCGTGCCTCTCCTCGCATTCATTTCCAAGAAGGCTGATACAAGGGTTTCTGATGAATTCCCTCCGAGAAAACCCCTCATGCGAGCTTTCATCCAGAAATGGCCTTAATCAATAGACCACCTCAATTGGGTTTCTGCATGGGACTCGCCCTTTCAACGGAAATGAGGAACAATCTTTCAAATCACTCGAACTGTTGACAGGGTTCATCGAAAATCGAAAGCCAAAGAGTAATTAGGCTAAAGCTGGCCGAAATGGATGAAATACTGCATGAACTGATTGTACACCTAATCTGAGATTTCGAATGGATTTCATCGCGCTTATTAAAGTCGCCGTGATGTTCAAAGCGGACCCTTATGATAATTACAAAAATTTTTGACCATCAATTTTTCATGGATAAATTAAAATGAGCTATCGGAATAGAGATTATGGGTTAAAAGTTTTCGAAATTCATCACCTTATAACTGTTTAAGTTGCCGTTTTTTGCCCAACCAGGATTCCTACAGAGAAGCGGCATGATTATAATCGCCAACTCTCGTTCATTCCATTAAAAGAGTGAATATTGAATAACGACTGCACTTACCTTGGATCCGATCTGGTTGCCACATTGGCCGGCTTGGATGTGAACGATCTCGCGCATGGTGCCACACACACACAACTGGGACAGGCCGTCTCTCGCTGTCACTGGCCCTTGTCCATGAATTTTTGAGTCTCGAATGTGATATCCGTCTGCGTCTCCGCAGTCAAGGCACCGCCCACCGCTATAAGGAAGATGAGTGCCACAAACTGGAGTCGACACCACTCTGCGCCCTCAATACTTTGTATGCTATGTAATCCCGCTCTGCTCGTAGTTCAGTCTTTGCAAAGGGAGGGGCTGGAATAGACACACGACCTAAACGGCCCTCCGCTCCGGACAGCGTTGTCGACAGCGTCGCCTTTTCTTCTTATGGATTCTGCCAATGCGCAACAGCTGCATTCATATTGAATTGCGCATCATGCAACTGAACGAGAACCATTACACGAGACAACTTGACATCGGCTCTGACAAAAAAGTGAGGTGTCACTTTCGGTCTTTGAAGGAAATTTATGGAAAATGAAAACGGAACCACAGTTTCGCTCCGAAGGCTCACGGTGTCAAAACTATAAGTAGTTAATCGTGGCCGAATACTCACGCAGCGTAGATAAATGGAAAACACAAATTGCGCAAAACCACGGAGCGCACTTACATAGTCAGATCCCACTATAGGACCCAGCTAATAGACCTGTGGTTTGCTTCAAGGTGGAATAGTTGTGCCCGTCAGATTGGAAAGCCTTACATGAGTACTGACTGCCTGAGACCCTTTTCTGCACTGTTGCTGTCAAGTGTGACTGAGCCATCCCTTGCTATTCTTGCTCCTCGTGGCACCTTGAGATGCATTAGATTAGCGCAGTTCCCTTTGCTTGAAAAGTTTATGGTAATGCAGGCTTCAAGTTGAATGTTCCCTCATGAGACATTCGCCAAGAGTGTAGCGTTAACGTATGGGGCGCTTTGCGCTTTAGCTTAGCATTATCCTTCGTGGCATTTATCATCCAGATTGCCGAGTTGACATCAGCAAACCTCCGATTTAGACTTCTAAGAAAAGGTGATAAGTCAAGCCGGCCAATTAAAATAAGGTCTCCACCGCTGATTCATCTGGAAACACTGAGCTCAGAAGTTGAAAATAATTTCGGAACAGAGTTAATAAGCAGGAATGCGTAATGCTCCTGAACCGAGCTCACATCCAGGAGTCGTCGCATAACTCTGCGCGAGTTCTGAGGGCATTTGTGGAGCGGCGCACTTATAATAAAGATAAGTAGCATGCAAGGTAGCGCGGGCCGAGGAATTTCATTCCCTTGATAGTGCATTTTATTGGGTTAGGTTGAGGAAGTAATTCACTAAAATCGCAACTGAAACTGACCACTAATCGGCATTCTATTACAAGGAAGGTCTTTCAGGGTATGCCAAACTTCAAAACGGCCTTCTACATGATATAGAGACGCACGCGAGAACCACAGAACCATGGTTAATTTTTCTTGAACGGCGCTGAATATCAGAAAAAGGGGTCCCTAGTCACATCTTTTTCACCAGTTTTTCAATCAAAGTCTATTTGTAAGGGTTACTGTCGTTCCTAATCATGAATCTGGTACTAATTATTAATGCTAACTCCATATTGCGCGAATTTGGAAACGTCACCACGGAATGCAAAAACTTCTCACCACGAGGAATCCAACTAGGGATCCCTTTTCTGGTATTCAGAGCGCCGTTCAGGAAAAATGAATCATGCTTCTGTGGTCCCCATATGTGCCCCAATGTCATGCAAGATACCATTTTGAAAAAGCTTGGCACACCCTGAACGACCTCCCTTGTTAGTATTCAGTGCTCCTAGAGATGTATAAGGCTTTCGTTCTTCACATGCAGTGTAGCCACTCTATTAGCATACACAGGTGGAGGGGGGGGGGGAGGGGCAAAGACAAAAGAGTCACGCTCCCTCCACATCTACAGCTGCATATTTACACTTTGCTTGTTTCGAACCGAATGCATCCAACTGCATACAAGAGCGCATACCAATATAGCGCATACCAATATATCAGGAAACTACACTGATCTTCTACATCAAGGGCAGCAGAAGGTTTTTCCACAGGAGCATGGAGCGCGGTACGAGCTCGACGAGATTCGCTCATAGGCTACTACGACCTTATCTGGAATGCTTGTCAAAAGCGGTCTTACAAGATCAGAGCTGGCGTTTCTAGGAAGCTTCCCATCAGTTGACCGACTGAAGAATTTTTGAAGAGCTTCAGGCAGGGTCAACCGTCACGTTCGAACATTTTTGGGATTTTTGCGACCCCTTAGCTCTCGAGGGGGTCCAGTTGCGACCCCCCCCCCTGTTTTTGTTAATAGACATGAATCCGTTGCGTCAGAAAGCGTCTGCGCCGCCGCCGCAGAAAGCGTCTGCGTTGCGGCGTCAGCCTTGAAGCGCGGCAGGTATCACACGGGCGCTGGAAGAACGGGGCGAAGAAAAAATTTTAAAGGGGAACTTCCTTGGGACGTGCTTTTTGACTTGCTGAGGTAGATTTTGACTGTGCTTGAAGTGCGCTTTCAGAAAACTACAGGATTGCCTAACTCTCCGGAAAGTACTTCTGTTAGAAGTGGAAAACCCAAAATCTAAGAAGGCGCACCTCCAACTTTGAAGGCCCATAATATCTTTCGTATGCGACCTTTTGGAAAGCTGTAACAAGTTTCAGAAGCTTCAAATCTTTTTTAATTTAAAACGTAGGGCAAGTTTAGGGATGAACTCTTTTCAAAAAATTGTCCCGCTCGAACATTTTCCGTGCATATGCGAGTTTTTGGGCTTTCAGCGGCCATAACTCACTTCGTTTTCATTTCTGTGATCCACTTTTTTTCATGGGAAAAAAGCATAGGATTTTTTCTTCCACAAGCATCAAGCCGTTTCTCGCAGTTCCCTTTTCGAGAAAATCACACGTTCGAATATTTTTTCCCATGGGTTGTTGAGCAGCACATGCGAGTTTTTGAGCTTCCAGCAATGATAACTTCCTTCAAAGAGCTTGTTGGAGAGGGATAAACACATTTGTGAAGACACTGAACTTCCGCTTCCTTACGTGTTTTACAGTACATTGGAAGAAGCGCCTTCAAAAAATAGGTCTCGAAAGAACTTTGTTTTCAGCCCCGAGAAGTCAAACCTTATACATAGGTATGCATCCAACTGTTCTTTATTCGTTAAGAAAACACTGTAATTTGCCTAAAACTGTCTCTCTGAGCATAATAAATCGAAACTAATGCGGTCTGCACAAGCAAGTCTTGCCCTGGGATACGCCACGCATGCGCCGTGGCTGGCAGTCCTCGAAATTGCGACCTCTTTCCGACCAAAATGTGGCCCCCTTGTTCGAACAGTTCGAACGGACGGTTGACCCTGGCTTCAGACCGGAGCGATAATGGGACGCTTCCCTAAGAATGACTGTGATGATTGATGACGTCATATTCTGAGAACGGTGAGAGCAGTGAAGGAGGGGATGCTTCTGCATAGTAGAGGACTAAGGAGTATTTTGCCCTGGACCCACTGGAGCCATGATGCCTGAGCTTTCAAGCACCATCGCCCTTCTTTATATCCATGAGTGCAGTCGTTAAAGATAGAAAGGAAGTAGACTCTTTCCTTTTAGACTGTCTCAGCCAAGAGTCCTTGCATAACATTCTTTGCGTTGTTTGTTGCCGCAGGATAATGCATATCCATTAACCACAAATATATAATAATACTCCGTTCTTTGGTCTGAAGACGACGAAGAAGCAAGGCGGAGAATTTTGTGGACTTACATCCTCTACTTCTTTTATTGCCTACTAGACCTACATCAGTGGAGTAGAAAGGGGGTAAACTCTGCCAACATTCACTTCGTTCGTTTTGCGCCTATGACAACACTTCGTTGGGAACGGTTTCCCTTAGGGTTTCCAATTGGGCTTCTTGCAGAACATTAACGTCTTATTTGATCAGTAGGCTTCTTATGAAAATGGTTCGAAGACCAGCTTCTGACGCAATGGTGTGACAATTATTCGCGAAGACATGAGGGTAGTTTGTGTCATGAAGTGGATAGTCTTCGCACTTTCGACTCAATGACAACTAAGACGCCTGATTCCCTTGCGAGATAGATTTTTCCTCACTAGTACCGCTCATCAGTGGAGGCCACCTTTGATGTTGTGGGGGAGCACATCCGAAGTGCGCAAGGTTAGAGCACAAATTGTAGCTGTTGTGGGACACTTTTTCGAAATTTTTGCGACCCCCCCCCCCTCTGAAGGGGCTGTTAAGTGTTTTAATACATTCACATCTACATTTTATTACACTGCCATTCTTTTATTCTTCACAATACATCTTCGATTTTTTTTTGAAATTTCAAACTCAAGTAATAATGCAGAACTGAAAAAATTTCTCCATGTTCCCAATTTTTTACAGAGACCATAGGTCAACCACCTGGACTCTTGAAAAAACTCACTTACAGAAAACGAGGAAAACATGAATTGTTTGTGGACACGTCAACTTAAAACCCACTGCCTTTGCGTGGACAGCAGCTCACGAATTGAGCTGCTGTCCACGCAAAGGCAGTGAAAAGCAAATTGACATTCACACGATGCCGCAAACTCCCTGCATACATGAAAAAACTCAATTACACAAAAGGATTGAATCGTGGTTTTTATTTTATTTGTAATGTTACCTTTTTCCTTTTGACTTGTTCTTCACTACAGCATCTTTTATGTGTTTCTTTTGTTGTGAGGAACACTACTTGATGCTGTTTTGAAGCAACTTGTCGCTTCTGTGCATGTCTTCTTCCAGCTACAGCTGCGATCGCCGTCCTTTCCTACGTTGCGTAAGGTATCCTTTTTATTTTCAATTATTTCACCTTTTTCCTTTCGACTTGTTCTTCACTACAGCATCTTTTACATGTTCTCCTTTTTGTGAGGAACACTACTTGATGCTGTTTTGAAGCAACTTGTCGCTTCTGTGCATGCAATTTTTCAGGTCGTGCAGCAGTTGTAACAATTCCACCGCTTTCTACGTAAGCTATTTCACAAATGCAACCTTTTCCAAATTTCGTTCCGAGGATCATGCTTAATCTTTG